GGAGGCAAAAATCCTAACAGAAGTTTAAACTTAAGTCAGGCACAACCACTTGATCAAATCTAGTCCCTTAGATAGGCATGACGATGTAAGCTATATCGGTGCGAAGTAGAACGGACTTCCAGAGTAAACTCTACAAAATTACCGAACTCTTTGAAGAAAGGCTGAACAAAGGCCATAACNCGTGATAGGGACATCAACACACCGAGTCATTAGACTGAAATCGAGCTGTTCAAAGAGCTCGGGAGAAAGGGGCAAAGTTCGGTCCTCATCTTGACTGAACTGTTTCAAACAGTAACTGGAGAGCTAAAGAACCGCCTATAACTCGGACATTCTGGTTAAATGAATTAGCATAATTATAGGCCCGACAGAAGAAATTACTAGAGAGATCNGGTGATAGGGACATCAACACACCGAGTCATTAGACTGAAATCGAGTTGTTTAAAGAGCTTGGGAGAAAGGGGCAAAGTTCGGTCTTCATCTTGACTAAACTGTTTCAAACAGTAACTGGAGAGCTAAAGAACCGCCTATAACTCGGACATTCTGGTTAAATGAATTAGCATAATTATAGGCCCGACAGAAGAAATTACTAGAGAGATCTCAACAACTTCCCAAATAAAGCCGCCTAATTGAAGGAATGTGTACTACCGTGAATCGAGAATCATGGAAACCCTAACTAAACATGGGTTTATAAAAGGTATCAAGAGTCAAGGTGAAAAGTACGTTAAACTCTTCTTATCTTCTTGCAATTCATTCAATCTCATTACTGACTTAAGCATCGGAACACTTCGATCTTGGACAGTTTGTTCATTTTGTAGGTAGTAAAGACTGGGAGATCAAGCTCGGAGCTCATTCTTATCAGAAATGTTCATTCTTTATTCTTGTAGGAGGTATTCTCAATTTTTACCTCTTACATTTTTGGCACCATCTGTGGGAAACTTCTCATTAATCGAAATGAATAGCCATGTCAAGATTGAGAAGTGTCATCGGATCATCTATAAGCAGTTTTGCCTTGGGGAATTTTGATCCAAACTATAGAGTGTTGCTTCTATCCGATAACGACGTGAGAATGCATGTGAAAGGAAGTCCTTCCAAACCCCATGAGGATGATGAATTATCCTCAGCAAGCTTTAGACCATCTAGGTAGAACCAGCAAGACAACGACCATGGTGAATCCCTCCGTGACGAGGGGGAGAACCATTCCTTAGAAAAGTTGGTTCAATCCTTGCAGGGCCGACTTGATGCACATGACAAATTGTTTCAAAAAATCCTACGCTAGGGAAAAGGACCTTATGAAAGAAAACAAGGAGTTAAAAGCCAGACTAAAAGAAATAGCTAAGAAGAAGAAACGTAACAAGGAAAGCCAACGAGAGAGTCCCGAGAAAAAAATGGGATAGAAGGGAAAATGCTGAGGAGGATAAGTATAAACAGAAAAGGCCTCGGATCCTAGAGGAAGATTCCTAGAAGCAGTTCATCACTGAGGAGCTCAACAAACGGCTAAGAAGACCAGAGCATAAATCAGCTAGGGACCTAGCCAAAAGAGCAACTGGAGAATATGGAGACGGTTCAGACTCATCTCCTTTCATCCTATGGATTGAACGGGGCAAATCCCGAACTTCAAGTTGTATGATGGAAAGATTGATCCAGCCTCCCACATTAGACACTACAGACAACTTATGACCATTCATCGGAGGAATGAGCCACTGCTCTGNGCAAATCCCGAACTTCAAGTTGTACGATGGAAAGATTGATCCAGCCTCCCACATTAGACACTACAGACAACTTATGACCATTCATCGGAAGAATGAGCCACTGCTCTGCACCATCTTCCTTAATAGCCTAGGGGAGTCGACTATGATGTGGTTCGACAATTTGTCGAAGAGGTCAGTAGGCGGATGGTCTTAGTTAGCCGAGCAGTTCACAGCTCGGTTAATTATGAGCAGTAAACAACCCAAAGATGTTGGGGCTCTACTTACACTAAAGAAGCGAAACAATGAAACTTTGAGAGAATACACTCATCGTTTTTGGAAAATGATGAATGAAGTTGAAGCTTGTAACCCCAAGATTGTTGTGGCGTCCTTCAAAATTGAACTGCCAAAAGAAAATCCTTTGTATCAGTCCCTTACCAGAAGACCTACCATGGACCTGGATGAACTAATAGCGAGGATCGAGAAATACGCCAAGGTCAATGACGATTTATTCAAAGAAGTGGGGAAGGAGCATCAAGGCAAAAGACAGTTTAGCCGTGACAAACTGGCCGACCCGAACAGAGAGGTAGGAGGGAAGAAAGAAAAGGAAGGGTTTCCCTCTAAGTCTCATTTCTTAGGGGTCAATACAGTATTTAAAGAGTCGATATACAAAATATTGGCTCAGATCAGGGGGAAGTCATATTTCAAGTGGCCTAATAAGCTAACAAGAGATCATTCAAAGAGGAATCCTAACTTCAGGTGTTCCTACCATCGGGATGTAGGTCATATGACCAAAAATTACCAATATTTGAAGTAGCATTTGGAAGAGTAGATCCAAGCGAGGCATCTTGCTCAGTTCATTGAAGGNGATGAAAAGCGTCTGTCAGACGTTTTCTGGGAACAAATGAAGGGGTTGGCTACCTATATGACACGTGTACCTGCATTAAATGATCCCACGTAAACAAGACAAGGCTAGTCACATGACAGGGACATCAACACATCGAGTCATCAAACTGAAACCGAGTTGTTCAAAGAGCTCGAGAGAAAGAGGCAAAGCTCAATCCTCATCTTGACCGAACTGTTTCAAACAGTAACCGGAGAGCTAAAGAAACGCCTATAACTTGAACATTCTGATTAAACGGATTAGCATAATTATAGGTTCGGCAGAAGGAATTGCTAGAGAGATCTCAGCAACTTCCCAAATAGAGCCCCTTAATTGAAGGAAGGTGTACCACCTTGAATCGAGAATCATAGAAACCCTAACTGAACAGAGGTCTATAAAAGGTACCAGGAGCCAAGGTGAAAGGTACACTGAACTCTCATTGTCTTCTTGCAATTCATTCAGTCTCATTACTCACTTAGTATCGGAGTGTTTTCGATCAAAGTACTTCGGTCTTTGACAGTTTGTTCATTTTGCAGGAAGAAAAGACAGAGAGATCAAGCTTGGAGCTCATTCTTATCGAAACGTTCATTCTTTATTCTTGTAGGATGTATTCTTCTTACAATTTCCATCAAATTTGTATGTTTCTATATTTGGGGAGTCTCTTGCTGTGATTAGGAGCGGTCTATCCAGGGAAACAACTAGTGCATGGGTGATGAAAGAGTATGGAGTAGGATGTATTCTTCTTACAATTTCCATCAAATTTGTATGTTTCTATATTTGGGGAGTCTCCTGCTGTGATTAGGAGCGGTCTATCCAGGGAAACAACTAGTGCATGGGTGATGAAAGAGTATGGAGTAGGATGTATTCTTCTTACAATTTCCATCAAATTTGTATGTTTCTATATTTGGGGAGTCTCCTGCTGTGATTAGGAGCGGTCTATCCAGGGAAACAACTAGTGCATGGGTGATGAAAGAGTATGGAGTAGGATGTATTCTTCTTACAATTTCCATCAAATTTGTATGTTTCTATATTTGGGGAGTCTCCTGCTGTGATTAGGAGCGGTCTATCCAGGGAAACAACTAGTGCATGGGTGATGAAAGAGTATGGAGTCACAGAATCTTGGACAATAGTGTTGGATTTGGATCCTGCAGAAGCGTGTGAGAAAATAATTGGATTTAGAATGAACGGTGAAGTCTTGTTGAGGATTAGCAATCCGTTTATTTATCAGCCTGGAAGGTGGATGGGCAAGCTGTATTCTTATGACCCTAACACTGGAGGGAAGAAGGAGTTGGAAATCATGAGGAAAACGCGCTCTTTTTATATTCAGACCTACATTGAAACCCTGGTTTTACTCGAAGGATGAGATGGAACCCTGGTTTAACATTATCACAATGCTTTTTCATGTTACTACGGTCTCTTTGCTATGTGCTGAATATGTTTATGCATACAAGGTGTTTCCTCGATAGAGTTGCACATAGTCCCCTGCCACCCCTCACACACTACACCTAAAAACCGAAAGGAAGGAGTAGAAGAACCAATCTCGAGTAGATATGTTACACTGATCCTACTTGAGTTCCTTAAGCTATCATTTTTTTCTCGATTTATGTCGTTTAGTTTCCACTTTCTGCCATGCTATATGTCAAATGCCTTGCAGATGTTTCATTTAAGATGCTGGTTTTCCATTACATAATGCTTTTCAATCTATCTAACAACACTCTGTTTATGTTGTGAATGCTGAGAAAATTGTACTTGAAATTATGTAGATTCATTATTAGTTTTGATTGCTTGAAATTATGTAAGTTTTATCAATGACAACTCCAGTGTAGTAAAGTATAATAAATACTATTTCAAGCATTCATGGTATGTGTAGAGAGTGAACACTCTTACACTGCCATATGGATGGCGACATCGAAGGATTTCTCCGAGGGACTTAAAAAGAAGTTGTGGTTTGGTGGGTCAAAACGGAGTTTTAGCTTTGGAAAGGTCGCATGCGGGACCCTTATATTGTTGTGCAAAACACATGCTTGGGCCACCATAGGGGGCTCCCATTGCATTCATGGTCTCCGGATATATTTCTCTAGCTAAATTGTATAGTTCGTGCAGAAAATGAGAAAGAGCGGTAAAGAAAAACACATTCTATACAAGATTTACTGATTTTGATTGAAGACCTTGCACCTTAGGGTTTCACAGAAAAAAAAAGTGAACACAAATTGTATATTAATGTTACAAAGTCTATTTTTCACCCGAACTCTTGCAAAATTAAGGCATGGACCAAACACCTCAAAGATGAACCCACCTTTAGTTGATGTTCCGTATTCTCCTTCTCTTTTTTGTGCTTCTGCTCTTTACGAAAGGCAAAGTTGAGCGGTGCGCCCTTTCGAAGAACTCACTAGTGACACAACCGAATAAATCATTACCTTGTGGAACCCATCCCTCAAGAAACCTATGATTCAGACATAGAAGTTAATAAACGGTCACCAACTTCATATTATGCAAATGGAGTCAATACACGCGAGTTTATAACTGGACAAGCCTTTTCAGGGCTCTATACAACTTTTTTTTAAGCCGATTGTGTGTACTGAACAATACATGAACCATGAATGCGCAAGCCCTCTGCATATACCATCATCTCATCATCTGAGATTAGAAAAGTACACATGAAGCCAGAACAAAATTTTCAACTTCCTTCGGGAGGCAAAAAAACTGTCGGTGGGGAATAGAATACCATGACTTCTTGCAACCCCCACCAGAAGAGAATAATAACACTCCAGGGCATGAATACTTACAGATGGCATGTTTTAAAAAGATGCCAAAACCATTTGTCGCAACGCAACCCCCATGGTAACTGAAAATGTTTCTTTCTTTTGACTACTCTTTGATAACCCACCTACGGCCACCAATCTGCAACCCACCGTAGCTTTGATCGCTGCTACTACTCTCTCCACCACTTTCTGCACTGGTATATCCAGTTTGGCGGCGGTGCTTTTTTCTCTTCAAGCTCCCACTGTCACTAATGCTACCATTTAGGAGGGGGTCATCTATTCCACGAATTACTCTCCGTGTAGATGATGATGTGGCGATGCAACTGTCATCTTTTGTTTTCCTTTCCTTATCATGCCTCTTCATGTTTTGGGAGATCTTGTGTATTTTTTCATTGAACTTTGTGATTCCCTTCTCCAGAGGCTCCACGGCTTGGGTAACAGTGAACTTCACATCGTTCACAATCTGCATGCACGGAGGTCAAACAGCCACATCAACACCTGAACAATGCAGCAAAAATGAAAAACATGATGCAAAAAGGATGCAATTAAAAGGAAACACGGACGACAATAAGGTGTATGTTTTGAAGGGGCACTCAAATGAGCAGGCACAATCCTATAGCCATTTGCCATATACTGAGAAGTACAGTCCTGGACACAATACAGATGGGACACGTTGGCATGAAAAATCCTAAAAATGTAGGAAACAAATTTTTTTTTTTAACACATTGCTATAAAACAAATAAAATTTACATATATATGTTATATAGCATTTAATTTAGTTATAATCACAAAATTTATGTAATGTTTAAATATTATATTCCCTGTATAATACAAAACCTTTAACAGATAAATCATAATAGTTAACATTTACCCATACGTTACAAACAAAACATAGCAAGAATATATTGTTATGATAATTACTGTGATCCTATCATCCTATCATCCTCCCATCCCCCTCGCATTAAATTTTCTATGTCTAAAAATTTCTAATACCTTTTATACAGATCTTTAATTCAACTACTTTTAGTAACTGAAATTTTTTCATACTATAGAAAGATCTTATTGTACCGTGTTTCACTATTCACATCTCATTGATTATTCAAAAAGCGGATTTGTGCCCCACACCAACGCATTTTTCTAATACAAACACGATCAACAAGGTGTGCGACATGTATCCAATAATATACGAAGAAGTGTTGATGTCCAAAATGTATCTGACACAAACACGTGACCTTTTCAGACGTGCTCGTGTTCCTTACATAAATATGCATCCAGACATATACGTGTATATATATAAATTCAAATATAGGTACGCATGTTTGACTTCTGAAAATGATGGGGGGGAGAAAAAAGGAAATATAACTATAGCAGAAGTTCCCTTCTCTTGATAGCACCATTGGAAGCAAAAACATGACCTTCCTCATAGAACTGGTGCAACCAATACCACCACAATCGCAAACTATTCTGCTTGCCATAAACATATTTCACAACCTTCTGCATTGCCTCTAACATCACTCGTTCGACCTCCACGGCGGACTCTTTCACCAAAACCACTACCGTTGCCAAACACAGACATCATCAGCAACACCTTCAGACCAACACCATCTCGAAAACCACTACCCCACACAGAGATCACCATTTGGCCGCCATAACCTATCATCATCACTCAAAAACACCAGTGCTGCAACCAAATAGCATAGTCCACAAGGGCATCTTTATGTCAACATTTATTAATCTCAGAGCAATCTACCCAACATCCACAAATCAGTTGACTTGCATATAAATGCAAAACAGGGATGTCAATAAGATCACGCATGGAATGTGTGGTTTATGTAAAAACCAGGGGCAGAAATGGGCAGTTAACTCTTTGAATCACACTGACCCATATGGGGCACTTCAAGAAGGTGAAAGCCAACACCAACCCCATCCATGTTAATTAATCAAGACATATAACCAATTTTCCAGTCAACAGCTTCAAGATATTTTTTTTTTTTTTATTACATTCCCCAACTCAAGGGTTGCTAAGATCATCAACTCTATGGGTGTCTTGAAAAAATTCAATGTAAGATTTGCATGCTATGGTATTGTTCAGTTTTTTTCTTCACATTACAATATCACCTTTCAGCAATTCGTATTGTTTTGGGGAGTTTTGTGTGAAAATCAAAGCAAAGTGGGAACCAATTTGCCAAAAAGCAAAAGAAGGAAATCAAAGGAAAAAAGATGCTCCATTCAAGCTTACCTTTTTCCACTTTATGAAACTAAATTTATCTTAACATAACCCTGGCACTTACATTAGCTCACAAAAGGGGAAAAAACGGCAGTTAGTTACAGCATCAAAAGTGGTTAAGACAGTAAACCGCAACTACTAGCTTCACATGCAGAGAATACTCGTGCCAGAATTGGTAAAAGATTTTAGAACGCTTAAATATTCTAATCAATAAATTAAGAAAGCTTACATATTCACCACCACCGATGAAAACATCTCGAACACTTTCTCTGATCGTCATTCCACTCCTAACGTCCATGTCAGGTTGAGGAAGTCGTAATTTTGTGGGACGCTCACTGTCTCTAACCTCATCTGGGTCTACAGGACAGTCAACTGATGCATAGTCTCCAAGGACTGAAACATTTCCAGGAAAGCAGTCTCCCATTAGCTCATACGGCTTTGCAGGGAAGACAAAAAGATGAACCACAGAAGCAATGCCCATCTGTGCTGGATAAATAGCAGACCTGTTAAACTCAGCAGATAAAGACAAGCAGCAGTTTAATAAGAGGACTTAACTATATTATTGTAAAATTTGTATTTTGCATTCATTTGCGTTAATCATCCACATTAGCTTTGACTTCTCTACAACACCGATTGGCCTCTTATGTGGGTCAGCAAGCAGCCTTTATTTTGTTTTGGTTCAAACCTGGGCACCAGTTCCTTAGAAGCCCCATCTTATCCATGGACCAATGCACCAGTAGGATTGGTAGCCTTTAAACAAATTCATGTAATCATTATCTGGCTAAACATTCTTCATTAATAAAGTTTACTTCCTGTTTCCCCTATTGTTTGCACCTGATTCCAAATCTTTTCATCATTTCCAATGCATTCCAAAATGTTTACATTTCCAAGCCTACCAAAACAGTGGGCTGAAATCCCTTTTGATTCTTGATCTCCAGATTTTTAAGGGTCTGTTTGGTTAGCAAGAAAAAGATGATGAAAAATGAAAGAGGTAGAAAGTGAAGTAAAAGAAATGAAAGTGAAAAAAAATATATTTTCATGCATGCATTTGGTTAGCATGAAAAACTTCTAAAAAAATTTTAAAATAACTTCATTCCATTGTTGGAAAGAAAGGGAAGTTACAAGAAATTTTTTTCTAATTGTCTAAATTATCCTTAATTATTTGAACTCGGTCTAAAGAAGAAAAAATATTTTTTATTATTCAAATTTTAAAAAAATTGGATCTTAATTTAATTCAAAGACAAAAATCGACTCAAACTTTGATCTCTAGACCAAATTATATGGTTAGTCTAATTTGTACAAAGTTTTTTAAAATTAATAACTAATTGAATATTTTTAAAAAAATAAGGGTACAATGGGAAGTTAGGTCATTGAACACAACTTTCTTGCTTTATCTTGTGTTATTTGCAAGGAAAAAAAGTCAGTTAAATGTGAGAAAATCTAAGCNAAAAAAATAAGGGTACAATGGGAAGTTAGGTCATTGAACACAACTTTCTTGTTTTATCTTGTGTTATTTGCAAGGAAAAAAAGTCAGTTAAATGTGAGAAAATCTAAGCATGGAAGAAAATTATTTTTTTATCATTTTCTATTTCATACTAAACAAACACATGTAAAATTTTAAAATTTTCTCTTTCTTGCATTTTCTAGCATTATCTTGCTAAACAAACGAACCCTAAATGCATTTTCCTTGAACTTCACCTCTAGNGATAAATAAACACATGTAAAATTTTAAAATTTTCTCTTTCTTGCATTTTCTAGCATTATCTTGCTAATCAAACGAACCCTAAATGCATTTTCCTTGAACTTCACCTCTAGGGCATTTACAAGAGAACCAAGCGGTTCAAGCTCGTCTTCGTTTTGGCACATTCAAGCTTGTTTGTATAGGAAATAAACCAAACATAATATACTTTCTAAGCTCGTTTAATATTCAATTTGAGTCCTAATAATGTGCCGCTCTACTTGGTATGCTCGAGCTCAATTCGTTCATAGTATAATATATTCATATTTTTTGTGGTCAAGAAATAACAAAGTGGCACCTTAGCTTAATGAATAAAGTTTCTGACTTCTAATTAGAAGACTGTTGGTTTGAGACTCGGGGATGTCTAAGCCAATCTTGAGCAAAATTCCAGGCTCAACTAGTGATAGTCAACTCCAGTCGTGCCCCAGCACCAAAGCTCCAAAAGGCTCAGCATGGTAATCTCCATCTTACTATGACATAGAAATAGTAGGCTATCACACTGNGAACTTAAGCATAAGATTTAGAAGTCAAGCCAATCTTGAGCAAAATTCCAGGCTCAACTAGTGATAGTCAACTCCAGTCGTGCCCCAGCACCAAAGCTCCAAAAGGCTCAGCATGGTAATCTCCATCTTACTATGACATAGAAATAGTAGGCTATCACACTGGACTAGTTTTATGTGATGAAGGCTAACAAACTACCAGCAATCACTGAACAGATTCGCCACTGAAAGTTAACATAATAGTAATTACTTAAATCAAATCCTACTTCCTATATATCTGAATATCATTTTGCATGCTTCATATTACAATTCTCATTTTATATCCCATCTATTTGTCTCTAGATATCTTATACTTTGGATTTTCTAGAGAGATGAGACAGAAGAAAGCGGTGACACGAACAAAGCATACTCTCCTAACCCCCAAAATTTCTACCATTGCACCAAACAATGCCCCCAAAAAGATCATTATCCATTTTGGTCTCTGTTGATTAAGGATGCTAAGAGGGGTGGACAGGATATAGACCTAACATTCAGCATTAACTGCACAATGGCTGCCTTCAAATTTAAACCCACAGCCTCATGGTTGTTAACTCCACAAAATAGACCTATCGAAATGAAATTCCACATCATAAAAATGGGCTAGCTAAGGAGCTGCCTCAAATCAATGGACCGAGTGCTACCCCTGTCCACCGACCCTGGCTCAAGCCTTGGCGTATGGCCTTTCCCAGAGCCTAGCTTGACAGAAGAACACAGAAATTGTACCTATGCGTATATCTATTCATGCTTGGTTGCTCCAGCAATAACTAAAAAAAGAGGGGGCCCTCTGGAGAATGCCATTTTGAGTATATAACTACAAATTTTCCTACAATTTAAATGTTCCCATGTGAGTAGATTGGCCTAGATGAGTAAAAGTGCAACTTTGAAGCCCACATTTAGTATGTAAAAACATTTGGCACGCATGCACGAAGAACGTACCCTGAAAGCGAAAATATGATACACAGGAAGCTCCCCGAAAGGGCTGGTATTGTAAGTAAAAACCTGAATCTAATCGGAAACAATTACCTCAATACAAATGATGAAGTCTTGAACGCTTGATTGAAAGTGCAAAGCTTGTACAATTGGACTTTTAAACAAACCAAGGGAACATAGAAGGGCAATAATCACACCTTGCCACCAAGTCAAAAAAACAATTGACTTAAATGTCAGAAACTTTGGCAATGGTTGGATGTGTGCTAATTCTTCCTTCGTAATAGCATAAAATTGAACTAGGCAATACAGGGCCCACGACTGACTGAAATTTAGAACCACAGCCATGTAAAGATACCTATAAAAGAAAAGAAGGCAGACACCATCAGATCCATCTAGGACATTTCTTTGCAGATTATATGCCAATTAGATAGTAGCAACGACAAAAGATTGTGAAATGAGTTGAAAGCTAAAAATATAGTCATTGCTAAATCAAAGCATCAACACTGCATGACACAAAACAAAAATGTCAGTCAATTCTTCAAGTAGAAAGGCATTTCACAAGTTAAATTCAAAGTCAATGTAGTAGCACAGGCATCCAAAAGAAAAAAGAAAACGTAATGGCATCAACATGCAGGAGCACTTGAATGCTTGTTTATTTATAACATGAGAGGTGTGTTTGCAGATTTCTACAGATGCATAGTTTATTCACTGTGCTTGCACAGTTATATAAAGTTGTAATATTAAAGTTATGATTTTAGGGTTTGGGAAATAGATGAAGAGAAAAGAAGAGAGAAAGAGGAAGAGAAGGAATGTAGAGAAGGCAGTCACCTACTCATTCCCAACCTCCTCAATATTTGTAGTATCAAGAATATTCAAAAAACTACAAGAATGCCCATTATTCTAATTTCCATAAATTTAACACTCTCAAGCTGAAGTATAGATATTACACATGTCCAGCTTGCCTAGGACATTATGAAACACCCTATTTGACACCCCTTTAGTCAAGACATCAACCAACNTAACACTCTCTCTCAAGCTGAAGTATAGATATTACACATGTCCAGCTTGCCTAGGACATTATGAAANAACACTCTCAAGCTGAAGTATAGATATTACACATGTCCAGCTTGCCTAGGACATTATGAAACACCCTATTTGACACCCCTTTAGTCAAGACATCAACCAACTATTCCCCCGTCTTCACAAAAGGCGTACAAATAAGACCAGAGCTTAGCTTTTCTTTAATGAAATGCCTATCAACTTCGATGTGTTTCGTTCGATCATGTTGGACTGGGTAATGTGCAATATTGATGGCTGCTTTGTTGTTGCAGTAAAGTCTCATTGAGCAAGATATGTCAACAACAATGAAGAGAGTTCATTGAAGAGAGTGTGCAATGTTGATAACTTTTCTTCCCTTTTTTATGCCTAATGAAGAGAGTGTGAGCAGCCTCATTTTGCTTATATCCATACTAGTGCATAGCTCTCGTAAATCTCCCAAACCAAGTTCTTCAAACCACAAAGAAACTTCTTCAACCTGCAAACCTTCTCTTCAAGAGATTGAAATCTAGGTGAAGCATCCATATATACACTTCCTCTTCCAAATCACCATGGAGGAAGGCACTCTTCACATTAATTGCTGAAGAGGCCACTACAAGTTTGCTGCCAAGGAAAGCAATACTCTAATAAAGTTCATTTTGGCCACTGGTACAAAGGTTTTTTGATAATCAATACCAACATTTGAGTAAATCCCTTATTCACCAATCTAGCTTTGTACCTCTCCACTGATCATCTACCTTATACTTTATTACAAAAACCCATTTGCAACCAATTGCTCTTTTTCCTCTCAGAAGAGCTACGAGGTTCCATGTATCATTCTTCTGAAGAGCTCTCATTTCTTCTATCATTGCTACCTTCCACTTAGGATCTGTAAAGGCATCCCTCCAACCCTGTGGGACTGACATGGAGGACAAAGTGAAGATAAATGCCCGGTAGGAAGTTGAGAGTTACTGGTATGACACAAAATTTGAAATTTGATGTTGAGTGCAAGATCAAACTCCTTTGTTAACTGTAATGGAAAGGTTAGTGTCATCCAAAACAAGACTGATCCATAGGAGGATGAGAAACATTACCAATATCCGAAGAGTCCAAATGGCAGTTAGCATGAGAAGGAGTAGTGGTCTTACCTTTTTTTTCCTTGAGTAAGTTAAGAGCTCCTTATTCCCTACACCTTGTTTCTCCTTATCCAACTTAACCGCTGGGAACTCATGCTGAGGTACAAGTTGAGGAATCAAGAAAGTAGTGGCATCAGAAGACAACTCTTCACTATTAGGCTCCCCCGAAGAGTCACTCTTTGGAGCAGAAAAATAGGGTATGGATTCAAAGATGGCAACATTCATAGTGACATAGCGCCGACAGGTTGGAGAACGATGACAACGATACCATTTTTGAGTGGCTAAATAACTTTNAATCAGAAGACAACTCTTCACTATTAGGCTCCCCCGAAGAGTCACTCTTTGGAGCAGAAAAATAGGGTATGGATTCAAAGAAGGCAACATTCATAGTGACATAGTGCCGACAGGTTGGAGAACGATGACAACGATACCATTTTTGAGTGGCTAAATAACTTTAAGAAAACACATTTTAGGACTCTGGGATCAAGTTTATCCTTATGTTAACCATAAATATGAACAAAACAAACACAACCAAAGACACGTAGGGGAATAAGAAACCCCAACGAAGAGTGCCCCATGACCTCAAAAGGAAACTTAAAAGGATAAAACACAAAACATGAGAAGGCATCCGATTGATTAGATAGGCAGCTGTAAAAAGTGCATCTCCCCAAAAAGTCTTGGGAACATGCACAATGAACAAGAGTGCATGGGCAACCTCTAACAAATGGTGATTCTTACGNTAGGGGAATAAGAAACCCCAACGAAGAGTGCCCCATGACCTCAAAAGGAAACTTAAAAGGATAAAACACAAAACACGAGAAGGCATCCGATTGATTAGATAGGCAGCTGTAAAAAGTGCATCTCCCCAAAAAGTCTTGGGAACATGCACAATGAACAAGAGTGCACGGGCAACCTCTAACAAATGGTGATTCTTACAGTTAGCCACCCCATTTTGTTGTGGAGTACTAACAAATGTTGTTTGATGAATAACGGCACTTAGATCCAAATATGAAGCAAAAGCACCATCAACTTATTCACCACCATTGTCAGATTGAAGCACTTTTACTTTTGCATCAAATGAGTAGAAACCNCGGGCAACCTCTAACAAATGGTGATTCTTACGGTTAGCCACCCCATTTTGTTGTGGAGTACTAACAAATGTTGTTTGATGAATAACGCCACTTAGATCCAAATATGAAGCAAAAGCACCATCAACTTATTCACCACCATTGTCAGATTGAAGCACTTTTACTTTTGCATCAAATGAGTAGAAACCATGCAATTAAACTTCTAAAAGCGGTAGAATACCTCACTTTTTACATGAAACAAATATACCAGCATAACACAAGAACAATCATCAATAAATGTAAAAAAACATTGATAACTAGATGAAACAATAATACATCAGGGGCCCACATATTAAAATGGATAATGAAAAAAATGAAGCACTTTTATTAAAACTAAGGAAAAAAAACTCAAACTATATTTTGCAAAAAGTAAAATCTCAACAATTCTACATCTTGGATGGAAGCAGCACAATAAACTGGAAAAAAAAAACTCTTTCCTAATCATCATCTCTGATGCACTCTCAAGATGTTTCCATGATTTTTATCCTCCCATTCATCTTACTTCAATGCTCTGTGTAGTCCCAGTTGGATGAGGACATCATTAACTTGAATTTGCTAAAGTTCAAAATTTTTCTTTCCGTCAAATTTCTCACCTCGAACTTTGTGTTCGTGGTCTTTGAGATTTTATCTAGTGAGGTTCAAAACTAATGCAAACGAATACTACTTTGTGAATAGTACGTATGAACAATTCTCCGTGAATAAACTATATGAATAGTACCAATAAATAGTACTAGGAATAGTACCGAAATCAATATTGGTTTTGATACCAATTTGTTGAGTTTTGCACAGCGATTTGTCCACTCCAACACCAATTCATCGCAAATAATGTCCAAATTTTCTTCACCGACACTAACAATGTCAGACACCTTATCTTTCTTGTTCTGGTCCTTAGTCTTACGATTCAGACAATCTACTTTCGAGTGCCTTTTCTTGTGACAATAGTGACACTGGGAATCTTTTCAATCTCTGGATTTAGAATTAGACGTGGATTTGTTGCTTCCAGGATTTCTACTCTAACTACTTTTGATAAATATACCCTCCACCTGAGACAGGAGTCTTCTTTTTATATTCGTTTGAATAAAGTGATAAGGTAATCTTATTGTACTCGATAATATCCTTCCCGCAAAGCAATGTAGTGACTAGATACTTGTACAAATCAGGCAACAAAGACTAGAATCCAGCAAAGTCACTAAATTATGCCAAAAACTCCAGCAACCGTTATATTCTCTAACAAACATTTACCGTAATCTTACCCACAATTCCATCTGAAGTCTCCTTCACAATATAAATCAAAGGCCTCAAGAATAACTGCTAAAATACCAGTAAATGCTTTTATAATCATCTGCGACAAAAAAAAAACATGTTTCTTCGTGAATGACCGAAGCAGGAAAAGGAGAGCAGTGGACAGAAGCAAAAATTAAAAGCTCTCTGCATGGGAGCAAACTTACATATTGGATAATTCCAAACTTGATAACTTGGTAAACCCACTTGCCAAGCTTCCATGGCTTCAAAAAATAATTCATTGGAAAATGATGCTTTATAATTCCTTTTTCAGAACCATGCTCCAATAAAGGGGTTTTTGAACCCATACGTCCTTCCCTCTCCATAAATTCAATCGTCCTCTCTTCCCCACCTAACTCAAAAAGAGGACAATATATTGAGTAAATATCTATATCATAAGAAAATATTGCACATCTTTTACCACAAATTCGGGGATTAGCACTTTCTGAAAAATTCAAGGATTAGCAAAATGTGACCATTTATATGCCTTTTAAACTAAACAATTATTATGACCATCTTCGGATAAGAGGTGTCTCAAGTTATCAACTAAGACAATTTTGAAATGCTTAATCCATATGATATTAGGAGGAAACTAAGATCGTGCAATACCCAAAAAGCATAAAAAGAAAGGAATTGCCAGTCTGAATAAGTAAGTTGAAAGGTAATTTATTCAAAGAATAACTAAAAATAATTGTTTTATAATAAAAAAAGAATAATTAATAATTTAAGAGAGCAGTCAATCATTCAGTACAACTCATGAAAGACATACCTAAGCATGCAACAAGATATCTCCCAAAGCAATACATGGCAAAAGATTCATAGCCATCACGTAGTATCGCGATATCAACACTAATAGACGGGTTCATCAAGGAAAGAAACTGCACAAATTAACACCAGTTACAATAAAAAAAAAAAGCACTAATATTACACAACAGGCACAATGTTATGGTACAGTATCAAGAATATACTCATCGAGAAAATCTTCAGTGTAAAGAACATTCTATAGAGTTACAGATTCTTCTAAACTAGTAAAGGTAGCAAATAGAGGTACAAATCACTTAGGATCATGAATTGAATCCTATTTAGTATGCAGGGAAAAAAAATCTGATATGCATAACAGAATTCAATTTTCCAAACAAGTGTTTGCAAGTATAGGGTATTTTCCAACAATATGGCTATTATCAAAAAAGACAAAGATAGAAGTGAGGGATGTAGAGCATCAGCATTTGCTGTCAGGTATAGTAGGCAAATGAAAATTAACATGAAGCATGAAGCAAGAAGTAAGAAGCAGAAAATTTTCTTATTGACAGACAGTGGTCCATGGAAGGGAATAAAAAGCCAATAGTACAAGAAGGCATATTCAAGTGAAAACCATGTAGGAAATAATCCAATTAATATTTCTAATGAATAAAAAGAGCAAGTGATCTGCACAATCACGAGTTCTTTGGCTTACTCCAAAATCAAAAAAGGGGGGGTAATAGTTAAATATAAGGAGGAGGAAAACCATGCTGATGGAAAAATATTAATTAGTGAAGTTGCAGTGAGGAGAGTGTGGAGCTTCTATTTAAAATACCCAAGGGATGAGATTGTCTCTTGTTTTCATCACAATTTTGTACAACCAATCTATTTATCCAACAAAAAAGACTAGACACAACGCTGAAATACTTCAGAGTTTGACATACCTAATCAAGCCATTGGTTTGTCCCAAAAAGAGACATGTTCTTGTCTTATATACTATGATGTCTAGTTAATGAGTTCTCAAAATCAAGGTATCAATGGTTTGGCATTCATCTCCCTAAATACCCAACCACTTTCAACATTTGCCAACTTTATGACTCACTTAAATCTGAGTTTTAATGTTTGGTGATAAAAGCCAAAAGCATCTAGCAAGTAGGGAAGTGTTCAGAGGCATCACTACCCTTGTCTAATATACTATCTCAAATTATCCTCCCAACTATCTATCTACTAGCATTCACTAAACCAGTTAAAATTTTAGAGAAGCAATTGTTTTGTTGTTCCATTTCGAAGGCAAGTCAAAAGTGCTAAGTTAGGAACCACGGTTATTGTGGACATACAATTATGCAATATAACTGCTCCAGATTCAGTTACTTCATTCAGTATTCTGAGGGTTCCAGGTCCTCTATTTTGATTTAGAAGTTGAGACTAGCGCCACAAAAACATTCCCATCTAGTTTGTCTTCTGTAGATATTTGTCTTCCAATCTATTAATTCTATGTGAATTGATTGCCAGCTGACACAATATGCATATAAGAGGAGAGGCAACTTTAAAACTTTTTCATCCAATGAAGCANGCAAAAACATTCCCATCTAGTTTGTCTTCTGTAGATATTTGTCTTCCAATCTATTAATTCTATGTGAATTGATTGCCAGCTAACACAATATGCATATAAGAGGAGAGGCAACTTTAAAACTTTTTCATCCAATGAAGCAAGTCGACTGCTCCAATTGATAAATCTTCTTTTAACTATGAGTCAAGCCAGCACTTTAATTGTGGCAATGTTGTAAAAGTTGCTCCTAGGCTCAAGGTGACTCCAGTCGCACCCTTTTCGCCGCAACTGCCCTCAGACAAGGCAACTTCGATGAGGCATGCGCTTCGTAATCCTAGTGTAAATTAAGTTCAGTGTGCAGAGGCACTCACCTCCCCCCACCCCCCCTCTTTCTCCTTCTATCTTGATATATTTTTGGGCTCCATGCAAACACATTAACTCTTGCTTGGATACATAGATATGCTTCGAGTGACATAATTGGTCCCTCCTTTTTGAAGGATACAGATGAATGCAATGAGTGATTGCTTGGCAGGAAGCATACAACATGAAATGAAGATGAGAAGTGTGTGCTTGATTGTGATTCTCTTTTTTTTTTTAAATTATCCAACTCAAAATCAATAATAAGTGAAAAATCCCACTAGGCTCATTTATGAGCCCAGGAGGTGTTATGTTACTGATATGGGAGAAGCTCTAACACACTCCCACATGCAAACTCCACTCGAATATGGAGAGAAAAACAGAAGAATCCGAAGAAAATTCTTAAACGTTATAGGTGAGCATATAGCCAAATAAAGAGGGAATCAACTACCAAATTGAAAATTGAAAAAACTAAATTTGAGCCAAACTCTATTCAAGCATAACTTTGAGACCCTAACATCTAACTCAACACCGATTGAGTAGGTGTGAAAAGACCTACAAGGCTCATATTCTAGTTTGGGAGATATTATTTTATCAAATTGGGACAAGCTTGCTCTAAAAAAAAATTTGGTGGTGGTGGTGATGGTGTGCAGGGTGTTGCTTGAGTTTTGTAGAGTTGGAGAAAGTAGAGAGCAAACTGGATCAAGATCAACTTCTAGGACAACATCAGCGGTTTCAAGATCGTCATCACATATGAGGAAGACAGTAAGAACCTTTAGCGCCTCACATATGGAAATTTTAAGTACACATTTTACAAACACAAAATGCTCAATGGAATTTCAGGAACGAATGTAGCATCACGGGAACCAGTACTCCAAATACATGGTTTGCAGCAGGTAGACAACAAACATCGATTGCCACCCATTGAGATAAACCAAATCCATACAAAACCCATCTCGTAAATATTTTCAGCTAACAACAACATATTCATAGGCAGCACGTTACTTTACAGTTCATGACACAACAGTAAAATAAACATTTTTTTTCAGTTGGAAACAAGCTTACTGATTCAACCGCATAGCAGGGGACCATCAATATCACTCCAATCAAAAACTTTTGCTCCTGCCAATAAAACCCAAAAATTATCATGAAAATAAAAAATACACAAAATATATATGTAGATAAAATATGGGTCAATGCAAAAATCATAAAGAAAAATACCTCAGGGTTCTTGTAAGCAGAGAGATGATCGAATAGAAGGTAGAGAAAGAGGGTGACAGTGAGCAGTGCAAAGAAACCAGCGGTTAGAGTTGCCCATGTAGGCGGTGAGTATTCAAGGAGAACCGAACTGAAATAATCTATAATGCTCTGCATCGGCTAACAAAAGGGTCTAAGAAATTAGGGTTTGTTTGGCAGTTAAGATCGGTCAATACTTAGTTGGAAGCTCATGACATTGACGAAATCACAGCAATTTTTGGAGCAGAGAGTCCAATTGGAAAAGGTTTTGAGGCGCCAAGCAAAAAACGGGTTTTAAATCTCATTTGGTTTGCTTTCAGAAGAGAGAGAGAGAGCGATGGATAGGGAATTTTTTTTTTTTGATCCAAGATGGATTGGGAATTAGAATACCCCTTTTTGTGCAAACCAAAGTTCCTACTTTCACACACTTTGCCACGGGGCTTTTCGCATTTTCTACGCTGAAATATTTTAAATTTTTTTATTTTGTACCTTTACAATTTAATTTTTTTATATTACATTTTTATTGTATTAAAAGTATTATAATATAATATTTATATTAATTTTTGTTATTTTTTTCGTCAAAAACCAACTAATTAAAACTGACGAAAAAACTAATGAAAAGATAACAGAAGACCACATTTTAAAACTTTTGTTACATTGAGTTAGCAATGTAAGAAATTTAATCTTTTAAAGGTACAAATTAAAAAATTTAAAATCTTTCAAGATACAAATTATAATTTGCCCTTCCCCACTCGGTATTTTGCATTTCTAAAAATCCCCATTTTTATACCATTGAAAGGCAACATCATTTGTAAAAAAGAATGTCCAAAGTGGAGAAATGGGGGGAGGAACATCATTTTGCATCTCGCTAAGATGTTTCGATTCTTAATTTATACCTTTAAATGTTAAATATTTTAATTTGTGCCCTTAATTTTATGAATTAGTAGTAATGTAGACCTCGTTCAGCCTATCAATCAATTTTTTATCATAAATTAAAGCACATGAATTATAAGTACTTTGACCATGAGGCTGAGGTAAGCCCATTACTACAGATCTTCACTTGTGGTCAATTTGACAACATTTTTTGTATCAAAAATCAAATATAGATTAAGCCTTTCATTTCATGTGTAACTCATATGAGACGTCAATAACCTGCGAATTTATACACGAAGTCATGTCCAAAGTACTTATAAGTTATAACTCACGTACTTTCGTTTATGACAGAAGACTTAACGATAGTCTGAAAAAAAAAAATTACATTGCTACCAATTTATAAAATATTGAGGGTATAAATTAAAATTTTTAATGTTTAAATGTGTAAATTAAAAATCACAGTTTCTTTAGAGGTACAAAATGAGATTAGCCCATAAATATTTTTCATCCTTAATTGGTAAGAGAAAAATTGGAGAAAAAGTATATCATTTTGTCATCCCCACTAAAGTTATGTCTAAGAGCATCTCGAATATTGACTAAATTTTTTATTTAAATTTGAGTCAACATTTGAATAAAAAAATTTGATTTGATACAAAGGGCTCTATTGAATATTTAAAAAATGACAAACTCAAATTTAAAGGAATATGAGACCTGACCATTGAATATTTAAAAGAAAATATTGATANATTTGATTTGATACAAAGGGCTCTATTGAATATTTAAAAAATGACAAAGTCAAATTTAAAGGAATATGAGACCTGACCATTGAATATTTAAAAGAAAATATTGATAATGTTAATAAAAGTTTCAATTTTCTTTAATTTGGATAAAATTTTGAGTCTCTTTTGATTTGATACGAGTTTAGACATAAGATTGAAAAAAAAATTAAGAATTTTTTATTCAAATTTAGATTTATATTTAAAAAAAAAGTAAGGCTTAGTGATGTTCTAGGCAGTGTTTTTAAAAACTGCCTCGCATGGGTTAACCTAGTGAACTAGCCTGAACCGGATCGATTTAGTAATTAGATCGTTTGAGCAAAGAAATCAGACAAAATCCATTGACCCCAGCGATTTTGNATTTAGAATTTTTTATTCAAATTTAGATTTATATTTATAAAAAAGTAAGGCTTAGTGATGTTCTAGGCAGTGTTTTTAAAAACTGCCTCACATGGGTTAACCTAGTGAACTAGCCTGAACCGGATCGATTTAATAATTAGATCGTTTGAGCAAAGAAATCAGACAAAATCCATTGACCCCAGCGATTTTGTAACAAACCTTCTTAACCGAATGATTTAATTAGAATGCTATAAAAGGTAGGTTCTAGGGCATTTTTGCCCAAATTTGATTAATCTTTCCTCTTTGTATGTTTCTGTTTTTACTATGCTTCTACCTTTCTCGAGTTTGATGACTCTAAACCTCCCCCCTTTCTCTCTAGAGGGGTGACCTTAGTCAATTTAAGACCTAAATCGAAAATATTAAATGGAGGTCTTTTTATTTTTAGTATTATTTTTTAAAAAAATTAATTTATTTTTAATTTCTATGTGAGAGGGANTAGTCAATTTAAGACCTAAATCGAAAATATTAAATGGAGGTCTTTTTATTTTTAGTATTATTTTTTAAAAAAATTAATTTATTTTTAATTTCCATGTGAGAGGGAAACAAAACAAAGATGTGTTAATGTTGACGAGAAAGAGATTTTAACTTTTATTTTTATTTTTTATCACAGAGAGGGAGAGAGTGTGTTTAATTTCAAGTTTTATTTTTTTCTTTTACCAGAGAGAGAGTGAATAAGAGTAAATATGAGTTGAATTTTGAGTATTTTTTTAATTTTTAAGTTTTTAATGTTATGGATTGCATTATAGACCTAAATTATTGTAATAAAAATTTTGATTGAATTTAATTTTTTGAGGCTTTTTTGTAGAGCTTAAAATTTAATGGATTTAATTATTTTTTTTGAACTAGTGATGTACCTAAAACTTTTAAAAATTTGGGATCTAAAATTTATGCTTTTTTTTAATACTGTTGGACCGGCTCTTTCTCTCTATCTCTCTCTTATTCATAGTCTCAAATGAATCAACAAAATGACGAAGGCAGGATATGAGTGAGGAGGAGTCATTCATCATCGTCATTGTGACGACCCATATATTAATTAATCATTGACACGTTAATTAGGCCATTGATTATAACTCTATATAATTGAGATTTATTTATTTTTGAGAACAAATGAATCTCAAATATAGATTTTTCATGCAAAAACGAGTCAAATAACTATAATATAGGTCAAATTTTGTAATCATATAATAAATGAACATATCTATAAATATCTATACACACACACACACACATATATATATATGTGTGTGTGTGTGTGTGCACGCGCACGCGTGTCTATGTCTGTGAAAGGACAAGCATTCAGTTACAGATTTGCAAAATTTAGAAACGTGCAAAAAAAAAAAGAAAAGAAAAGAAGTAAGTGATAAACAAATGGACAATTGTCCATATGAGGTATGGCTGAAGTTGGCAAGCTAAGGCTTTGGCTATAAATAGTCAGCCTTTGGCCTTTCAAACATCGTACCAAAGAGAAGAAAGGAAAGGTGAGGGAGGAAGAAAGGAAGAGAAATAAGAGAAAAGGAAAAAAAAAAAGGGAAGGAAAGGGTTGTCGACCTAGGAGTGCGATCTTGTGATTAAGAGGTAGGATTTCTTTTATCTTTTACTGTCATTGATGCATTTCATGCATATTTGGGAGTTTCATATTAAATCTATTTTTAATAATGTAATATTATATCGCTATAATCATGAGATCAAACTGGAATTATATAAATAAATCATTATCATGCACATATTGTATTTTTATTTATATCGAGATCTTAATTATCTTACGAAACCACGTTGCTCTAATTATTTTATGAAATCACGTTGCATAATAAATATTTTTTTTATTATTATTTAATGTTTAATTTGCTTTGGGTCTGACTACGATGTTACTTAATTTTGTGATTTTAATGAAATTACTATGAATGCACATAAATCGAGAGCAAAGGGTTAGTAGATGTGTGATCCTTGCGAGGATTTACAGGATTCCTACTAGTCATTGGGTTCACTGGTTAGTAATATCAGTTGTTGTGGTAACCTGTGTGGCACCACATAATTCTCAGTATTGATATTTTCAGAAAAGCAAGAAGGGCATTAGATTCCCTAGGGTAGGGTGCAAGACTCCAAAGTTTTTTTCGGAGGCGGTTCATGCGTGAACCAGAAAATTGACGAACTAATATGATAGATATGTGCTGAAATTTATTTATTTATTTAATTCATTACTTTGCCCTATTCCTACATTTATATGTTGTTTAATTATATATTATGTATTGTTTTAAAATCTTAATAATCATTGATAAACGTTATCCTACTGGACTGGTGAGCTCATCCTTATCTAACATTTTTCAAAAATATGAAGTCAAGTAGAAGGGCAAGCTGAAAGGACAATGAATATAGAGACTGCTATTATCATTTATCTTTATGTTATATCAAAAATATTTTAACTGATCGAGAGAAGATTTTGTAATCGTATGCTGGATATAATAATAGAAGGAAGGTTATTGTAAGTTATGTGTGGTTTGATTCCTTAATCACGTCTTAGTATTTTTTTTAAAAGAAAAAAAATTCGCGGCGTGACAGAGTGGTATCATAGCTTAGGAATTAGGTCTTATATGAAAATTATAAATATATATATAGATTAAATAGTGATGTTAACTTACTAATACTGAACATGTTTTATGGACAGATTATTTTTATGTGTCAATAGAGCTAACTTTTTATGACTATCGGTATGGCAGCATGAGACAATATCTACATGACACAAACTAACATGGGATCCGCAATAGCTAATAAAGTTCAAAGTGATAGAGCCAGTCTAGAAGCTTACAATCTGCTAGTCTGGGAGGTTCAGGACATAGCTAATACTTGGCCTTTTACACCTTTTGCTGAGCGAAAGAGACTGGTGCACCACCGACTGACCTCACAACTAAGGGTAATCCGTGAAGCGCTTAGTATGGAGACCAACCCCACCCTTTATCAGGAGATTATAGATGGGTTAGTAGTTCCAGACCTCCAGTGGGCACCAACTGCAACTAACGTGGGACAACCAGCTGAAGCTCCAAACTTGTTTAATACTAATGGATGGTTGAACCTCGGACCCAGTGAACCCAATGGGGGCCCAG